AAAGTTAGAGTAACGCAGTAAGTTCTGTTTTGGTTTTTTAGAAAAACAGCAAGCTGTTTTAAAACGTGCTGAACGCAACGTCTGGGTTAAAGTATACCCCCCTCCCCAAATAACTTAAAGGTAATTAACTTTAAACAGGTAGAAGAAATAATTAAGAGTGAAATAAAACCTTGCCTTTAAATGTAAACGCGGTTTTCTCGTCATTATCCCAGTATCACATTTTTATTTAGGTTACACGTCAAAGGCGTGAAGTCTGAGTGCAATAAATCGTGTAGCCTGAGGGGGTGGGGGAGACGTCAACCTCTGGTTTCGTTACTAAATCATGCCCCCTGGTGGCACGTAAAAATGACAACTCGATGCGATTGTTATGAAATACGTGTGTGGGGGGGGTTCAGTATTTATATGTGTATGTGATATGTTTTACCAAAGTTAACAATTAAATTGCATTTAAAAACTTATATGTAGATATATATATCACCATTTTACTCAAAGAGCAATGAGACTAAACGCATTTCCAAAAACATACAGACTGTTTTTTTTTGTTGTTGTTTTTGTTCTTTGGGTTGTTTGTCTGTTTTTAAACAGAGCTTTTTTTTTCTTTTTTAATTATTTCAATTTGTGAAAAGACCGGATAGGTTCATTAACCATCCAAACCTACAGGGGGCACTAGAAACTTAGATTTCGAGAGAGGCATGCAGACTAACTCAGTTCACTAACAAAGCAAAATAGAGTCCAGCAGTTTATTGCAATGGTTGGTAAATTTTACCTGATAGAACATCTGAGAAATGTCCGATTAAAGAACCGCTTGTTTAAAAAGAGAATAAAATGCCTCTGAATGCGAAAAATGCTCATAAATGACTCTTTCTCTAAGTGTTTGGTGGGTAATGCAGTGGATGTCTCCCACTCAGTCAGTCATGGGTACTAAAAACAACAGCTGTGCATTTCGCTGCCCAAACTGACGGTCATTTTGCTGCCACCAGTGTTAAGAATAGGAATTTCTTTTCAGGGGTGTTCAGCTTACAGATGTTTACCCAAAGCCCGAATCACACGAGAGAATGTCAAGTATGCAGAGAATCTGTGAAAAACATGCTTGAAAATTCTGGATGTCTGTTTAAAGCAAGCATATTTAATTTGAGTTCAAGCATGAAACTTGAATATAAATAAAAAGAAGGTTTGCAAGGAAATGCTGTGGTGGTAACTTAACTGTTTTGCAGCCACGCATTGCATGCATTTCAGTAATGCTCCCTTGAAGCTTTTCTGGAAAACATATTTACTGCCAGCAAATTTGTCTGCTTTTTTTTTTTTTTTTTAAAAAAACTTGCTGTACATCCTGTCTGTCAGTGCACTCAATTACCGCAAACCCTTGTGTCACCTCCACCTTTTGTGAAAGGAGGTTTGTGCATTGTCATTTAAAAAAAGACAGACGCCAGCATGTTGTGTGGGAGACAGGTTGAAAGAGTGCCAGCATAAACACTCCCAGACCACATGTTCTCCCAGGGCAGAAGGGCTGGCTTCTCTCCAGGCACATCTGCACACAATCCCTCAGCTCTCAGCGAGTGAGCCAAGGAGACAGAGCGGGGCAAAGGAGGGAAAGGAGAAGGGAGAGAGAAAAGCATTCCCAGACAGGGAGAACCTATCTGTTATGTGAAAAGTACCATGGTGTCAGTGATGAAAGTGATGACATCTGACTTAAAGAAACAAACAAAACAAAACAAAAAAGACAAAGAGAGCGAGAGAAATGATGAAATTTAAAATACAGACAGACAAAAATTTACTCAGTTTGAAAAAGAAGTAAAGTTTTGTGACTGAGGACTCGCCACCATCATTGCAAATCTGTACATCTGTATCACACCGTTAGTTTACATGCCAAGGTCTGCTTGGCTGCAGTCATTACTTGTATCCTTGAGAGAAGATGGATTGCTGCATAGACAAAGCTGCTGACTCTCACTTAGCCACAGTCTACGTTTTTTTAATGTATGCATGCCTTATGGCTGCAGATGCATGTGATTTTCCACACATTTTTACCCCGATGTACATATTTTTTTTAAACACACACGCATCCCACTTCCTATTAAGCTTTCCTCAAGGTTTTTCTTGTTTTCTGCCCTTTGGTTTACTGGCAGAATGTGGCGCTGTGCTTTTCTTCTTCTTCGTCTTCTTTTTTTGTTGTTGCTAAAAGGTAATTACTGAGCAAGCAATGCTGACAACACCTGAGGAATGCAAAGCATGCAGCACTGGGCTGTGTTCTAACCACCCACCAACCTCTCCCCACTCACCACACCTCGCTTCTCCCCATCTGTGACCCTCCCCCATTGCAGCCAACTAGCAACTACTTTCACAGGGATCGTAGATGCAGATGTTATACGCAGCACTGACGTGATTCTACCAGGAAATATGAATCAACAATAGGTTACTGCAGATTAAACTTCTTCATTAAAAAAATCAATGAAATTATGATTTTTTTTTCTCTTAGTGTGGAGGAAAATCCTATCCAAAAAAACCCTTCCTCTTTCCCAACAGGCCCTTTTATTCCCGTTACTGGTGAATTTGCAGTGTGTGTTGGCTAGCTCGGGCACACTGCTGACTGAGTCACTCCCCAAACTGTCCTTGAGCTCTGTGGAACTCACAGCCCATCTGGCTGAGTACTTGCACAGATACACACACATCAAAACATTGCATAGATTTAAGCAGGGGAAGTAAATGACTATGGGTGACCCAGTTGTGGTCTGAAACTGGTCCAGTCGAAAAAGAATCAATATCTGGCTGGAGAGAATGATGCCATACATAGAATAATGTTATTTTGTCAACCAATGCATCAAGTTTTGACATTGCACGCGTGCACATACTTGGGAGACAGCGATAGAGGGTGGAGAGAGACACAGAGATTATGAATTCAGCTGAGCCTCTCCCGTCTGTCTGACTAGACCATCATGATGAAATCTGGATGAAATCCCTTGTGCATGTAGATCAACCTAAGTTTACGGGCTCGGTCTGAATTTTACAGTCAGAGATGTAATATTCACATACGACAGTTAGGTAAGAAACAATGTAGCTGATGTTGCGTATGTTTTCTGCAAACATGAGGATTAATCAGAGTACACAAGAAAAGGCTCGGGAGTAAAAAGATTTATATGGCAAGCAGCTCGTGTTAATAAAAACAGTTATCGTGCATTGTGAAAATATATTAATAGAAGGGTGGGAGCTCATTTTCATTTTACTTAGAAAATCTTGACATCATTTTCTATTTCTTTTTAATACATAAGTATGGAAACAATTGTCCAACAAGTTTTTAATGACAATAACCTATCATTAGATCATTCCCGTTAAACACACACACACACACACACACACACACACACACACACACACACACACACTATTTAATGACTACATTTCCCCTTTTGACACAAAAGTTGGCATAGCAACATTTTCTAATCTCAATAATCAATATTAGCCCTCCTCTCCTCTGTTGAGGGATCCCTCTGTGACTACAGTTGCATATAAATTTTGCAAATAATTTAGACATCATCTTGCCTATTTCACCTATTTTTAATTTTTTTTTAAATAAGATTTGATTTAATGAAAAAATGATTTAAGAATTGTAACCAATTGCAACCAATAGTAACCAGTTTGAACATGGTTAAAAGACTGTAAAAAATCTACATATAGACAGAATGATGCAATGATGTGAAAATCATTTAACCACCATATTTAATAATAATTAAAAAAAAAGTATTAAGACAAAATATTACAATACTGCTGATATTTATTATTTCAAGAACAACATCAACACTTTAGATGTCAGCCTCATGTTTAAAAAAAATTAAGATTGGCAACTATTATATGCCAGGATCCTATACTGGCATATAATAGTGAGTATGGATTATAATGTACATAGTATGAGTATCTTACACATCAGTGAAGGTACCATGAATACCAAACATTAAACTGAGGTTTTGGAGCAAGTTGTTTTTCTCAGGGAAAGCCTTGCTTATTTCAGCAAGACAATGCTTAACCGTGCTTCTGTTCCAACAGCATGTCTCCACTGTGCAATAACCTGGTGTTTTATAGTAACCTGCTTACAGTTCAGACCTGTCACCCAGTGAAAAGATCTGACACAGTAAGAAGTGACATTTCTGATGGACTCCCCTGAACTGTTTAGCAATTTATTTCAAGCAGAAAAGGAAAACGATTACACAGAAGTAAACAGATTTATATTTTACACAGGATCCCAACTTTCTTGAATATGCAGCAGTGGTTCATAGAGCTGGTAGGTAATAGTTAGCCTTAAAGAGCTGCTGGCTGTTTGTTTACTGCACCTGTACATCTTGGTGTGGTGTTGAAGTTAGGGGGTAAAATTTCAAAAGAAAAACAGAAAAAGGGCCAGATAATAAGGCAAGGATGGGACAAGTGATTGTGTAAGACAACATATTTGATGTGTGGGCTTCATTTTCCTCAGATGACAAGGGTCAACGTCTGTTAGTGAATTTGGCCTGGTGCTCTGAAAGGTTTGGAAATGCACTTGGCAAAAGTATAGAGAAAAGAAGGGATGGCTGAAAACGTTATTAGAGAGTCAATCTAGCTTTAATTATATAATTAAGGAGAATACTAATTAATACTTCTCTTTCCATCTACATTGGCCTTAGGCAAAAACATTATCTCAACACGTCCCAGTTTTTTTCCCTTTTCTTTTTAAATCTCAGTAAGCTGCTGTATTTCAATGTCTACTTCCAACTCAGGAAATAGTAGCAGTGATCTGGTCCTCCTCATTTCATATGCACTAGAGGTACTTGACCCAGGGCTTGTGTATGGCTTGAGCAAAGAAAAAGCCAATAAAAAGTGTCTACTGTTAGGGAGATCACCTTATCTAAATCACCATTCCCATTCTTCAAAGTGCACTTTAAGCGCAGGCAGCTCTGCATTTCTTCTTCCTAATCATACTGGGTTGGAGGGATGACTTAAATGAGCACAACACTGGAAGTTAAAGCAAAAAAAAAAAAAAAAGTCTGCTAGGTAGGTTATTTATCTCCCTGCCTAAAAGGTGTTATTATTTGGCGAGAAGGCACAACTGGAAGATGAAGTCAGTATAAATAAGCAAATAGCCCAGTGCTTTGAGCGGAGTACATGAGAGTGCTGGGAAACGCGGCTCCAATCACTACCGCTGTTCCTGGCTCAATTTCCCTGGCTGACGTCAGCTGACTGCCTTGGCTCTCTCCACTCTCCGCTCCTCCGGACACAGCGCCGAGTAAAAATGCTGCTCTCTGTGTCGCCAAGGACAGGAATCAACCCTTACAACAGCTACAACGGCAAAAACACCAAGAAGGTAAATAACGACACCACCGGCCACTTCTATCGCGTCTTTCTCAAAGTAAGTCATTTTCCCCTCTCGATGCGGTGTTGTTCGAGCTCTGGCTCTCCAGTTAAAAGCTGCTCGGCTGTTTAAGCTGCAGTGTCCTTGAAAGTGGATCACAGGCGACGTTTAAACTCGCATACTTGCCATTGCGGTGTTCGTTTCCGGCTTTTTGCTTGTTCTTCTTTAAACTGTTACACATTAAAACGGGGCCCGTTACGTTGTTGTTCGTGAAATAGTAGCAGGCTACAGTTTGCTTTCGTTTGTTCTGATACGGCGTCTGCTCGCTTCCTATACCGAGCCTGCACACAGTACAGCTTATAAATGTGTTGTGGAGGCACGCTAGGCTCAGGATAAGCTAATAAAGACGAAGCATATTTGACTTTAATATGGATTCGCCGGGTTTTAATGTCATATATTCGGCTAAGTTCTCTTCTCATTGAATTAACCACAAGTTAGCAAAGTTTTTTTTTCCCTCTTTCACGCGCACCAGCATGCCCCACCCCTTCTGTCTTACAAATGATTACTGATGGCACTATAAGGAAAGTTACTGAGCCCACGAAAGAAGTCTAGTGTAATCGATTTTTCTCTTTTTTCCAGTAAAATGACAAATAGTTTTTAAGATAAATGTTGATTATTTTGCATACTGAGATGAGTAATTGATGAGGTGACGTGCAACCACTTTTCTGTGCAGGCTGTATGGATTTTTCTTAATTAAAATTCTGGAACTCGCACATGTGTAAAGATTATATATAACGTTTGCAGTCACGGGGAAATGTTACTTAAGTCAACGATTTGAAGTTTTCGTTGTTTGTTTTTGCTCGTGATAGTGGCAGCATTTTTAAAAAACTAATATTTAACCCCAATTTTTGGATTTATAATGTTGGTATTATAGGTATTTTGCATCACTATATATGTATATTATCTACATGGGCATATATAAAAATATGCCAACACGCTATAAAACGGCATTACGTGTGAAACAGCTGAAACGCTTCCCGTCTTTCCCTTCTTTTTCCTCGTCATTCTCTCTCCTGCCTCAAGAAGACTGGAAAGAATTCAGATTGCTCAGATTAATGATCTGGAATTCCTGGAATCCTGGATTCAGACATTGTGCTCACTTCTAGAGGTGCTTTGCAAACTGAAACCCTTTTTTTGCTGAAAGAAGACATGCACACACAGTTTTTTTTTCACCCCTACACACACACCTTCACAAAGAAAGGGACTTGTAAATCCAGTGTCAAGTGGCAGCCCCTGGTCTGTGTCATTTACTACAAGAAACAGGGCGGAGAAAAGAGAGGGATTAAGAGACACCCCACCCACCCCCTCTTCCTCTGCTTTTGATTAACTCCCTGATCTTTTTTTTTTTTACTTTCTCTCTTTTAGCCTTACAGGCTGTCTAAGTGTTAAGATGAACCCAGGTTTTAGTCAGGAAGAGAAGAGCAAATGGGTCTCACCTTCGAGCCGCAGGACATCAGGGGTTTCCTTATGTGGTTCTTTCCACCTTGCTGTTTTTCTCAGTCTTTTTTTTTTTTTTTTGCTTGAAGCAACAGAAATTTAATATAAAAAGATTGCATCTGTAATACTAAAATCGTTTCCACTGCCCCTAAGGTTTCTTTAACCTAGGAGGTAGGATGGATCTATCTTTCTGTGATACAATATATCATCAATTTATAAAAGATGCTGTTGTTGCGTAGTGCAAACATGATCGACTTTGTGATGCTAGTAGTTTGTGCATAGATCGAAGGCTACTGTATGGTAATAGAAATAAGCAAATATGCATTTAATGTTAAGCAAAATGAATTTTTGCTTGTACAGTTTAATTCATCTGGGATTTTTATAGGCTACTGTGTTCTTATCTTGTGATTAATATGAACTTAAATCAAACAAAAGAACTAAATGTGGTGTCTGACCGATGTTGCATTTTGTTTTAACATGCTCTGTATCAACAGATTTAGCATTAAAGCGTCTTACAGTGAGACTCATACAGTTAAAAGCATGCGTTCTGCCTCATTTAGCACTCATTGTTCTTGCTTGGGTGAAAAAGTCCTTGAGTCACCTGCTCTCCCTACAGGAATCACCTGTGCTCCCTCCAACTGTAATCACCTCATCGGTCTTTAGCTGCTCTCTGCAACATGGTGTAGTCCCCCCCCCCTTTTTTTTTTTTGTAGTTATGCTGCTTGCACAGCTGTGGTGACAACACACAGCGCTGATTTATCTTTCTTAGGCTGTAAAGAGATAATCGTATAGTAACCGGGAAGTGGGGACTGCATAGGGAAGCAACGGAGCATCAGTTGTTCATAGGCAGATAGCATTGATTAGTTAATATATAGTGAAAATAATTAAATAACATCCTCATGCATTTTTCATTCAATGTGCGTGTGTATGAATATATATATATATATATGAATATATATATATATTAATTAATTAAAAAAACATTACCTCATGATCAACATTTCAAGGACGTGAATTGCACCGAACGGTGGCGTCTCTGGGAATGTAGTTCAGTTTAAAGAACTTTAATCTTGAACCCATGGTCCTCGTTACTCCTTGTATTGATGTGCTGCAGAGGAATGTAAAGAATGCTGACACTGTTATGGATATAAGGAGCAGTGTAAACAGATACTGTATGTCAGCGGTTGTGGATTGACAAATAACATGCTTGCAGCTGGGAAATCAGTGGTATGCAAGGAAGTCAGGTTTTGTGCAATGATTAACTGAGAAGAAATGTAGCCTGTAAAATGAGATTTTTAATTCCTAATCATTTAAATTAAAGGTATTTGTCACAGGCTACCCTTTGCATGCATATTTTCATGTGTTTGCACCATTACATTGGAAATGACCTTACATGGGTGGCAAAACACCTGGAGCGGGACTGGGGCAGATGGGGAGTAGGTGTGGAGCTAACTCACTGCCATCCTCTTTTCAGATGGAGCCTAGCAGAGCGCTCTTAATGAGACACTACCTTCTGACTGGAGAGCACATGAGAGGGATTAGCACTTTCCGCAAACAAGCTCAGATCCCAATTAGTAAGGCTTCGCTTGCCAGAATCGGGCCCGGGCTCGGTCTCCCGTCGGATCCTGTCTCCCCAAGCCTTTGCAGGTGCATCCCTCCTGACAGCCTGTGCAGGCCGCTTATCATGAAGGCGAGGGAAAGCACCAGAAAAGACTGTGATTGTGGAAAAACAAACAGTGTACTGATGCTAAAGAAGAGAGGGAGATTAGAGAAGCAGGATAAGATGAATGGGGTCTGTGGTTTTCTCAGCTCGAATAAAAAGATAGCTTTCAAGTTCGGAAGGATGACTCCATATCGGTTTGGAAATCATAAGGCAGCTGAGTAGTGGGGAAGCATAAAAGTTTGCACATAAATCACTATATAAAGCAAGGTTTGTACTAGGAGAAACTCCATATCCTTTCATTTATTTTATATGCCTGTAGCCTGTTGTTAGCTTGACTAAAGATTTGGTTTTGATATTCATCTAGTTTGTTCAGAGGTTTCTATAAATATAGTTTAAATAAAGGCTCCACGGACAGGAAACATCTTTAAGTCTCTAATGCTGTAAAAATTCAAACTCTATATAATCAAGTTCATGTACAATGCTGTACCATTAGCCACTTACATAATGTGTCTCTGATCCTTAATAGTGTGTCATTACAGTGTAAACAAAACACAACAGAGGCCCTCCAGCCTTTCTTTCACAGCTTGGAAACCCTTTGGTTTGAATTCATGTTACATTAAAAAAATTGCTGAAATACAGAAATGGCACCAAACTAAATTTTGATGTCTCCATCTTGCTTCCTGTTCCTTGTTTCCTGCTTTAAACAGCAATATTTCTGTGTTGGCTGGCATGTGACCAGTCCTAAATGTAGTGCACCCCTATTAGTCCTGTCACTGTGGTTTGTTGAAGCAGCCATTGATTGTCTGTTTTTCTGCTCTTCTTGCCCATGTGTGTAAGACTGTTTCAGTATTTCTGGGCTGGTACAGTTTACTCAAAGCTGAATTTTGAACTCCTACAAATGTAGGGATCTAACAGTTATGAAACTGAGATCTGCATACCGCAGTGTTGTCTTCCTGTATGGTAATGTTGAGCGTGGTGGTTAGCTAAGCATGTTTGTCTGGTGAAAGCTGTACGGATTCAAGATCGTTCAGGTAATGGCTAAATTCGAAGTGCATCGGAATGACAGAGTTTATGTTTGTCATCATGGGTGTGCATTAAAAATATTTTTCACTTACATCTTCAATAGATGTGCATTCATTCATTTTTTTTTTTTAAACCACTGTTAAAGGTTTGGAGAGATATTAGTTGGTTGTTGAACGTTACCCTTGGTATTTAAGAAGGAAGGGAAGAAGACATGGGTCATAATTAGGCTGATTCCAGCTGTCTTTCTTCCTTTCTGTTAATAAGCCGATGGCCTGAGGGTGACCTTGTGAGGTCCAACAAGCCATTGGTGCAGGAAGATCAATCCCTTTATTGTAAAGATGCCGCATATAGCTAAAGTCTTACTTTGAGTTGGATACAAGGCCTAATCGATCCAATACATCCATCACATTCCTTCTTATTGCAGGATTGGGATCTCTGCTGCTGTCGGATGACAGAACTTTCTGATATTTAAACATGCCTGCTGTTAGGCAAGGGTTAATACACATGGCTTGTGTGTTGTTGCTTGGTAATGGATTAAAACTATATTTTGTGACTCACCCACCGCTACAAGCCACCCCATTGTTCTCTGTGGTTTGACCTTCTGACCTCAGTTAATCAAACTGTTCCTCCTCCTCCAGCAGTAAGAGGGGACGCAACACCAAGGCCAAGCGTAGCTGGCGTTTGGATACATTTTACTTCACTTCCCTACTAATTTAATTTGGTTGGCACAAGATGGGATCAGCTGGAGTAGCACTGTATACAGCTGTCATTCTTTGTTTGCTATCTGGCCACCGACAACACTCTGGGCATTCAAAAAAGTCATGTGTCAGTTAAATGAGTCCGCTGTGGTCTTAGAAGTTGCTTGTATAATGTTTGTTTGTTTGTTTGAAACCACTTTGCTGCTGATGGGAAGCTTAAGTATGTTTTCAGAAATGTATGCAATCACCCATTTCTGCTTAATAGAAAGCTTTAGTTTTAGCAGGTTTTTGTCAATATCCACCTAAAAGGAATGCTTTATAAAACTTCCTGAAAGAGTCTGTAATAGTATCATTCTGAGTGAACAAAGTTTGCTTCATCAAAACAGCAAAAAAATAAAATAAAATAGGGTGTCTTTTTAAGCTTTTCAGCTTTGCTTCTGTATATAGTTTCATTTTTAAACCAAGTTCTGTAGTTTTGGAGAGGTCTCTGTAGGTCCTCAAGGATTTTGATGATGGATGTTGTGCATGTAAACTCACTTTTTTAGCTGTCATTGTTCTCCAATGCACCTGTCTAGCAGCAGTCTTCTGCTAAATGAAAGGTGCTTCTGTAAAAAGTACGCAGGAAAGCAATTAAAGAATTAATGTACACAAAGTTAAGCCATTCAGTCTGATTGGCTAACTGTGGACTTTTCCACTGTTCGCTGGAGAAAGTCCTCTTTTCCATCTGTTTTTAGCAATCTTCCCAACACGAGTTGTGTGCCATCTGTGAATCCTGCGCTCTTGCGTTGATGGTTTGTAGAGATGCCTGTAGAGTTGGATCTGCACAAAGACATACTCATGCCAACCTGTCCATTCTGTTGTTCTATGGCAGCCACAGCACAGTGTGCTGAGAGGAGGCACTGGCTAGCTTTTAGAACTCGTGAACTAGCTTTAGATGCTTGTTTTGATGGAGGTTAAAAAGTCAGTTCACCAAAACGTACATGAAAATATGCAATGTACAAATAAAAACAGGCATTTTAAGATGTCTCCATATTAATTTTGCATATCCTAGTAAATGTGGCTGATTGACTGAATCTTTGTATATGAATGCAATCTGACTTTTATTATTTAGTATTTCTGTTTTTTGCAAATACTACAATGGTACATACTATTTCTTCTCATATTTTGCTTCATATAAATAGTATAAATTGTGTAATCGTAATACTTGTTATATCTTATATTTCTGTTTTTCCCTCACAGTGACCTGTTATAATATTTATCTGACTGGCCTGACCTGTCCAGCCAGATTAAGCATTAAATTGATGCTGATATCTTGTCTGTGTCTCTCTAGCCTCAACTGGTTGGTTTTTTTATTTCCAGTTAATGACTGCATCCATGCGTACATCCAATTTCATGTACCTAAAAAGAGCCCTCTGTTTCCTCCACAGCAGACATATGTGTCCCCGTCCAATCATCAGATGGCTCCCCCAAGCCCCAACAGCAACACCACCACAATTAGCAATGGCAGCAGTAACAGCAGCAGCGGGGGAGAGCAGCTGAGCAAAACCAACCTTTATATCCGTGGCCTCCACCCAGGAACCACAGACCAGGATCTGGTCAAACTCTGTCAGCCGTAAGTCACCTAAAACACATTTACTTCAGCGTGCACTTACACCCAATAAATTTCTCTGGCTGTCTGAGGAAGCATGAACCCGGCTAGAGCAGACTAGATTATAATGGGTGATGGCTGGTCGGCTGCAAGGATGAAAGGCTTGCATCTCTACTTTTGGCAAATAAAGAAGATGTATAGTTTCTATACAACTTAAGTGCACAGGAACACTAAACCATACCATATTTGGTATTTATGTAATGTACAAGAGGGCCACATTTATCCATGCATTTTTTTTTAACACATCATGTAGTGGCTTTTTGGAAAAACTAACAATCACTGGGGCTGCAAACTAAGACCTTTCAGCCTGACATAGCTGAGCACAGACTTTCCAACAACTAGGTACAGAATGTTTAGTCTCACTCTCTCATGCTAATTCATTCTGTCTCTTCGTGCTCATTCATACACTTTTAATCTATGATTATTTTTTCTCTTATGTTTTAGTCATGATACAGTATGACAGTGAGCCCTGTCATCCAGATACAGCGTCACTTCTGCACTATAAATATCATGCCATGTTGCTCATCAGTGTGGCTGTGAGTCTTCGAGAACTTTGTTGTGGACAGCATGTAGTCAGACATCAAACAGCAGCAGCATCCAATCCATCTGATATGTTTGTTAGGCCTTCAGTGGAAGACATCAAAACATGCAGGGCTGAGATGAATGATCTGCTCTTAGTTAATTGAATTATGGAGCCTGGTGATGAGAACCAGAAGAGCAGAGGAGAGTAGTGGGAGAAAAGGAGGGAAAAGAGGGCTAGAGAGATTGAACGAGGGAGGGTGAGGCCTGCTATTTTACAGCTGTCTGGAAGCTATGGCTCACATGAGGCAGCCCAACCCTACAGGAAACGGCAAGCCCAGGGGAAAGGGAAAGACAAACAAGGGCAATGGTAGTGGGGGGGTCAGAGGGGGAGGAGTGAGTGGAGTTCAGGGTTTGTGTGTCAGGTGGTGTTCTGTGGGGGTAGTTCTCATATTTCTGCTTTTACGGAGCAGATAAAAATCACTGCATGAAATGTGCCTTTTAGCAGAGCACATTAAGGCTGATGTAATTTTCAGTTAAACTAGAATGAAAGAGGATATTGTGTCCAATAATAGTTAAAGGGGTAACGGCTTGTAGATGAGGATGTAAAGCAGCAGGAAGACTACTCATGTAGGGACTCTGACTTACTTTGCTCTAGTTGGAACCGTAAATCTGCGTATACTTTGAGGACGCAGCACTTCCAGAGCTCCCCTCCCCCACACTGAGAGTTGTTGCATGCAAGCTCTGTGATGTACTGTGTACCAAGTGAGGGATGAGAGACGGGGATGGGATTGGGGGTTGGCTCTCCATTGGCCACCGGGCCCAGCATTTGTGTCTCCGGGTGCCTTGCTGCCGCTCTGGTTATGCAGCAAGTGTGCAGCATGAAGAGTTCATAACTTAAATGCTAGTTGTTGTGAGAATAAGCAGGCTGATGGCACTGCCATAGTGTATATGCAAATGTAGGAACACAATGCTGGCATATCCATCCAGTCAAGTGAGTGGCATTTTGTCACTTGGAGTCAGAAATGCATTGTGAAATTGCGGTTTTGCATATGAGGGCAAATGGCCCTCCAGCTTATACACACTGGATGGGATTGCAGAAAATAGACCAAATGAATGACTGTAACATGAAATATCTCTGTTATAGTAGATAAAATATTGTCAACACAGCCCAACATGCTCTCGTGCATGTTATAAGGACAAGGAAAACCCAAAGAACAAGCCCACATCAGCATTCAGGTTGGGATTTGCTTGCAAGGTAGAAAAGTGTTTGGGTTTTTTCCCCCTTACAGTCCTCAGAGTTTGGCACAATCAAACAGAATAATCAGATGAAGTTCTGTAATGTGAATTTATATGACTGTTTGATCTTCTTGTCCTACATCCTACACAGATGACCTTAAGCCATTTAAAAAAAGTGGGGGAAATGCTTCCAGGCTTGTGTTTTTATTTTTATTTTTTTGTTTGTTTTAAATGTGTTTTATAAAAAAAAAAGAATATGTTAGACTGTCACATTACAGCTAACAGGTCATCAGCTAATCCTTACTTACAAAAGTCAAATTATTTATGAAATTGATTTCTCAGAGTGAGGCAGTGGTGCTGTGCCACTAGATGCAAGTTGAATTATATTTCAGGGGGCACTAAGACCCAGTGGAGGGTTAAAGGCTGTCTAGAGAGAAGCTGGTTAGTAGAATGAGAGTGTGGCTGGGAGCCAGTATTGGACAGGACAGCCAAGGAGAGGCATATCAGATTACACTGCATGCACATGCCTGGAGAGATGGGGATTGATAGACCCTGCTGCACAGAACCATTCGCCCAAGTCGAACACTATCCTATGTATTTGCAGTGTCTACGGCTAGGTGGGGCGTGGGGTGTGGGTAGTTAATGTAGAATTTTCATATTTACGGTGAATTATGATGCAATCTCTGAAAAAATTGATGGGGGGATTCATATCTACCAGTTTGCCACTGCATGTTGGATTTCCCTGGAGATATGATCCCTATTGACATTTGTGTGTGAGCTAGAATGAATAAGATATGGTAAATCTATAGTCCTCCTAGAATGCAGAAGCCCACGGGACAGTATCATTTTTTTCTAACTGAATTTGCCCTGCCTTGGATTTGTTATCAGATGAGGTGATTGTGTAACTTTATTGAAATCTTTAGATGATTTACAATTTAGTCATCAAGAGTATTACATCTATACACAGTGGAAGGACTACCTCTGAGTGCAAACCTCACTGTTTTTCAGGTATGGGAAAATTGTGTCCACGAAGGCCATCTTGGACAAGACTACCAACAAATGCAAAGGTGAGGGTTTGTTGTTGTTGTTGTTGTTGTTGTTGTTGTTGTTGTTGTTTTAATTAAATGAAAAAACACAGCTGTTCCATGCTCATCCATAATATTTGTTGAAATGTGGCCTTTCAGTTCACTAACGCCTCTTCTAGTCAGCTGATCATTGTGTAGCATATCAAGTGGTAAAATTACACCACAAATATGAAACTAGTTTCTCATCATGGTTTTTGCTGAAATGTGTGGGAGGAGAAATACCTCATTTTATTTAGGTGGGATACTTTCTTGATAGAATGTGGGGGAGGCAGCACAACTGGTCCCTATTTGGTCTCCATAGGTTCACTGTCAGATCTGACTGTATCACACATTTGCATCCTGCCTTGCGTCACAGTTTTGCTTCTGTTGTTTTTTTAAAAACATGGTCCAGGCTTGCTTGCATGTGTGAAAATGCTCATAGTTACACATCGCTGCACAGAAAATGAATAAAAAACATAACCAATACGAACATGTTAGAGGGAATGGAGTTTCTGTAAAAATCCAGCAGAGAAGGAGAGGACTACTCTGAGCCCACAGCACCGTCAACCTTGGACTGGGCGAATGGGCTTGCGTGTAAATAAGAGACCGTGATCAGATGATCCGAGATGCCAAAGTTCAGAAATCTATAAAAGAGCAAGATCATGTGGGGTCTGGTGTCTGATAGTTTATAGAAATCACTCCTTTACTTCATGGGAAGCCAAAAAAAAAAATGTTGGTGCGATGTGAAATCTATGGCTGGTATCGGTAATGTGCAAGGTTACAGCATACTGCTGATAAAGTCAATAAAGCTGTTTGACAAGTGCATGAAGCCGTCAGCTTCACACTGTACCTACTGAGTAGGTGTGTGTTTATTTTTTTTTTTAATATGGGCAGCGTCCTCCATCTGTCCCCCAGAGGGACGCACATTCCAGTCCTAGCCAGCTGTCTCTTCAGATTCATACACTGTTACCACGAGTACCTCATGAGTTCAAACTGTGCACCTCTCCTGCAGTATGCACATCTCACTGTCATATATTTTGTTCCCTGCAGGCTATGGCTTTGTCGACTTTGATAGCCCAGCCTCTGCTCAGAAGGCAGTGACGGCACTGAAGGCTGGCGGAGTGCAGGCTCAGATGGCCAAGGTGAGAACTCAGCTTGAGGTATCAAAATTCGGTGGGTTAATTTATAACTGCTTGGTGTAAGTTTAATTTAGCCTGAAAGAGCACTTTATCAGTGTCTCAGCAAAAATGTTGAATAATGATTTGATTCATTAATTTCACATTAAATGTTGACTCATTAATCATAGAGGGAAAAGGTTGCTCCTTGGGTTTTTCTACCTCTTAAGAAATAACAGATCTCTCTTGCTGTTTCTAGCGCCCCATTCTTTAAAAAAATAAATAAATAAAATCAAAAATCTATCACGAGATATTCCTTTATGCTTAAATCCGCTTTTTTCATACATAAAATCGCTGGCTTCATCAGTCTGCATTATGTTGTTCAGAAACGGTCATTCTTATGTTAATTTTCCCTGCAGCTTCATCCAGACGGGGCCTCTGGTAATGCTGGAGCATATGTCATGTGCTTGACATTTGACTGTATATCAAGTGGCTTAGTTAGTGTCAGATTTTTGTTACTAGTTTATGTAACAGAGAGAATGAAAGGGTTGCAGGGATTTTTAAACCAGAGAATCATCCAAACACCAATTACTAAACGGGGAGAGAGAAAAAATCATCTGCCCTGTTTTGGTGAGGATGTTCTTACCTCAGGCTTTTTGAGTTCAGCATGTTGCACAGCTTCAATGCAACATTGCTCATATGATTAAAAGGCGGCATTTGGAAACTTAAACATAAATCACCTACATGTTTAAATAACATCAGCAATGTTACAACTTCTGCAGAAAAGTAACCAGGGTGCTGTTCAGAGGTGAAGCCAGCACCCTGCAGCGCTGTCACAATAATAGTGCACTATAAGACTATTTCTGTGCACAAAGAGTCCACGGATGCTTACATGTATGTATGTGTTTATAGTGGTGATGGTGTTTGGGGAGCACGTCCCAGAGCCTGCTCTTTGAGCTCCCTGCACAAAGGACCTGTCTGTTCTCCCTAGTGGCATCTGACTCAGTGTCTGAGCAGTTCCCCAGTCAGCAGGGCACAGTGCCCAGCCACCCGCCCTGTCACACGCACGCCCACAGACACACAGAGCCCACTTGACAATCGCACACGCACTTCAGCAGCCTTGCCTCAACCGGATTATGACACGCTCTCACGGACTCGCACACCACCGGCGCCCTGGGAAAGCTGATCTCTCGTTAAGCTGGATCACTGACATTCATACGGCTTCTTGCTCGCAAAATAACTTGATTTCAGTCACCCTTTCAGCCCGGCTTTACAACAAGACTTGTGTGTTTGCGTCAGAATTCTCTCTGACTCACTGTGACTCATTCACAGATGAAATCCACAACTGGGGCTTCTCTGCTGCTCGCTCTCATGGGTTCAAGCCTCATTGCTAGTGTACACTGCGGGGAGGGAGGAAGGTGAAGGAGAAATCAGCTTCATCGCAGGTCGCAGCGATTACACATGCATTATTCATGGAATGGAAATTAACTCGCGCTGCATTTACAGGTTTTTAATCACATCTGCACTCTGAGATAATGAATATGCATAATGGTTAGAGGGCGATACAGATACCGTCGGTCACATTAAATTTGTTTTAAGCAGGGCACAAAGGAAATTGGAAGGGGAGGAGCCTACAAAACAGTTCAAGTTGCTTAGAGTGAAACTTTCTTTCAGCATGTTTTCTAATCATTTTAAATTCAGATTTGGAAGCGCTGCATATTTTCTCTGGTTTATAAAAGCCGACAGAGCCAGCATCTGTGCCTGCATTCAAGGTCAGGATTACCACATGAATATAGCTGCCTGAATGCAAGCAGTGCATTAGTAACATGATCGAGGAAACGGAACGACCACGTTTTTGGTAGCACAATGCGTGAGATGTTCTCCAGATTGTTCCCGAAGGTCTTTGTCCAAAATGTCACTGCTCTCTCTCTCTCCACCAAGCGAGAGAAAGGGAGAGCACGTAATCGCTTTAGATCATCCAGGGATGGCAAGCCATATGAAATGTAATTATGCTTTGATATCGCAGTGGCTGAATCGCCTGCTTTCATCCTCTTAAGGTCCTGGCTCTGAACAATGACCCCCTTTTTTAACCCTTTGGAAATAAAATATAAGTGATGGAAAATAAGAGAAGAGTGTAATGAAGATCTGTGCAGATTACATTTGTAATAGTGAGCTATAGAAATAGAACTGAAAATTTCACTTGACTTAAAATGAGTTGAGCTGAAATCCAGCCAGAACTTTGTTCACCGTCTCTTTTCTCTCCAGACCTCACGGTCCACGTCTCACGGGTCCAAAATGAAATCTGACTTCAGCTTCAGACCTTCTACCTTTTCTTGCTGCTTTTTTTTTTTTTTTTTTTTTTTTTTTTTTCATGTCCTCTGCCTTACATCCTCCAAATATCAGTCATCTCACACACTTCCTGTTCAAAGGTTATGTAAATTTCCCAAATGTTTGCTGGCGGCTGTATTTTCTTGGAACGCTTCTATGGTCATGCCTCAGCTGTTGTTCTGTCACAAGGAAACCAAGAGCCCCAAATCATTCACCTCCCTCTGGCCTCTCTGTGGTTAGCAACAGGAACAAGACCCCACCAACCTGTACATCTCTAACTTGCCGCCGTCAATGGACGAGCAGGAGCTGGAGAACATGCTGAAGCCCTTCAGTCAGGCCATTTCCACACGCATCCTCCGTGACGCCAATGGAACCAGTCGAGGAGTGGGCTTTGCCAGGTACACGCTGTTGTAGGACAGCTGGCTGAAGTTGACTAGTTGTGCTGTAACCTTGTGTGTATTTAAGAAAATCTCAAGTCCAATGGGAGTACTAAAGTTCAAAGCAACTTTTTTAGTATAATGTTGGGTGAGTGGGCCCTCTGGTGGTCATTGTAGGTAGAAACCTTTCAAGCAGAAACTGTCATTCAAAGAAGTGATGGATTGGCTCTCTAGTTTTATTAAGCACAAAATATGTCCCTTAGGATGGAGTCGACAGAAAAATGTGAGGCCATCATCCAGCATTTCAATGGGAAATATATCAAGACTCCACCTGGAGTTCAAGGTGAGTTTTCTGGAGGTTTTTTTTGTTGTTTTTGTTTTTAAATTTGAGGCTGAGTAGACTGTCTTTATTTATTCAGCATCAAGACAACAGTCTTATTAAAACGGTTTTAGAAAACTGAGTGTTATCTCCTGTTTGGAAAACCTCTGGTTCAGCACCGTCAGAACCCTTGCTGTGTAAATTTGCTGATGGAGGCCAGAAGAAGCGCCAGAGCCAGGGGAAATATCTGCAGAACGGTCGGCCCTGGACAAGAGATGGAGAGACTGTGAGCTTTGTTTTTTTTAGTTTATTTTTTTATGCCTGTAAGGGGGGGATCCAAACACCTCATGTTTCTCCCTCATAATGACATTGCTCTTTTGTTTTCTTCCTCCAGGGAGGAATGACCCTCACCTATGACCCAACCACAGCCTTACAGAATGGGTCAGTATGCTGGCTCATGCTAATCTCTTGTATAGCCCCAAGGAGTGGTGGTCTAAGCTGTGGTCACTAAGAAATCTGTGCCTCTTTCTGCAGGTTTTACTCCTCTCCCTATAGCATTACCCCCAATCGGATGATTGGACCAACCTCCCTTTCCCCATATATGCATCCACCTGTGTCCACCTATCAGGTACTGGGGTTGTGGTGTTTTCAATTTTATAGCTTTTTGGTTTGAAATTTGTTTTTAATATTTCAGCCATATTTTCTTCTTTATTTTCTGCAACTATTTTGTAATGTTTCTGCACGTGTGTTTTTATATTAACTGACACGTCTTCGATTTTCTTGCAGGTACACAACCCGTCCTGGCTACATCACCAGTCATACATAATGCCACCCACAGTGAGTATCCGGCAGTTTATTTGTTTTTATTTCTCTCAAGACCCTTTTAATTTAGCTTTGATTCTTGATGTTCCCCCCATAGGGAGCTGTCCTGACACCTGGGATGGACCACACCATGTCCATCCAGCCAGCATCAATGATGGGGCCTCTAACACAGCAGCTCAGTCACCTCTCTATGGGCAGCAGTGGTACAGTAAGTACAGTGCACAGTATCTGGCTATGAGAAAGGCCAGGGTAAGAATTGTGTGGTTTGTGCCTTTTGAGTTTCAGCTTCTTTTTTGTATTTGAATTCTTCTCCGGGTGCAGATTCACACAGCTAATGAACTTATTTCCATTCTCTTCCAGTATATGCCTGCAAACACATCTATGCAGGGGACCTACATACCCCAGTACACCCAAGTGCCTGCCACCAACATCTCAGTTGAGGTACTGCCCTCCACCTCTCGCCTCCCTTTGGAAACATTTACCCCTCAAACTTTTACATAACTGCAGATTAATTAAATATTTGGTGCTTCTTTCTCAGGAAAGTGCCGTCCAACAACCTGTTGCCATAGAGACACCAACAGAGCATGCAACCTACTCTTACCAGCATAACAAGTAAAGAGGTGGGTTTTGACTGATTCCCCCAAGTGACTGTGTGTGCGTGCGTGCGTTCTAATTGGCTGATCTTGTCACCCTGCGTTAGATCTTCATCTGGGGCCCGACTGACTCTTGAGGGGTCCCAAGAGCTGAGATTCCCTGTGTGAAGAACTAGACACTCCAGGAACACAAACTGTTCCACACAAAGGACAAAAACAAAGATATTTTCTATGAACTCAGATTTTAAAACAAACTCTTTTACTTCAGACAAGCAAAGCTGGAGGACAGCAGACGGTGGGGAAATGGAAGAATGGAACAATGAGCATCTATTTTGATAACGGTCAAGAAAAGTTCAAAAAGCTGTTAAATGTGTCGTGTATGACCATTGATCATATTCTTTTTTTCTCTCTTCAAAACACTACTCCGGGGGGCAAGGATGAAACCAGGAAAAGAACATTTCAACACCATGTTTTAGGTCATGTTCTGCTTTTGTAAGATATGCAGTTTTTGTTTTTTTACATTTTTCTCCTTTTTGACTGATGCTTTCAGACTTGAACCTGCCTTTTTGTAAATAGTTCTTTGGTTATTTTTTTGTGTGTTTCTAGCCTCGTCCAATTGATTGATTGGTGCAAATATTCGGAAGCAGAAAAACTGAAGTCCTTTTTAGAAAAAGCTGATGTTGTAAGACTGATATGGTGCTGACATCGATTAGCTTCTTTCTCTCACAAAGGCAGCAAGTTTGTCAGGTATGAAACCTTACCTGAAGCAGTCTCACTTAAGTTTTTTGGCACTTAAATTTATTTAAAAGAAAAAAAAAGTTTAGTTCCAACAATCTCAACAAAGCTGCAGACAATCAGAAGATTACACAGAAGAGAACATTTTAAGCTGATGTTCGTTGCCGAAATATTTCAGAGCGGACTACTTTAAAAGAGATGAATAGATTTAAAGCATTCCAGTTGTTGTTGTTACCCGAGAGTTTTAAATATTGATTCACTTTGAGCTGCTTCACGTGATGAAATCCAAAGTTGTTTAACAGGGATCACATCTCACTCAGAGCTGCCTGTAAATAGATTGAAATGTATTCACACTTTCGCTCGACTTCCTTGATACATGTGATGTAATGTGTCAGTGCCCCTCCCTTTTTTTTTTTTTTTTTTTTTTTTTTTTTTTTTTTTTTTTTTTTTTTTTTTTTTTTTGTTTAAGTAAACAAGGATGCAGATTCTTCCCTGAATCCCCCAAAAAAATCAGATTTTCTGAAGCGGGAATGAAATGTTGTTATTAAAGTATAAAGATGTAATTACACAGACATGGAGATTAACTGGTGACGCATGAATCTGTCCTGTTATATCTGCAGAAAACACTACTTAGGTGATTCATAACGGCCAGGCTATGGCTTTGAAACTGGCCATTGCTGTGTGTTTGCAATCTTCTTCTGCATTTCTGGTTTTTACCGTCATGTTTTTTGTTCTTAAACATTATTTAAAGGTTTCATTTTTTTTTAAATTCAGTTTCAAAACTTTTAAGATTGATCTTATTTTTCAAAGAAGCTTTGATTTTTATTTTTGATAGTGTGTTGTGTGCTTCATAGTGAGAAATAGAGGTTTTCACTTTTTTCTTTGTGTTTTGCGTACTTGCTTTGTTGTGGTTTCAGTGTTGATGTCAAAGAGGCTTTAATATTTCAGTTCTGTCAGTGTCACCAGTGTTGGCACTTTTAGACATAACTTCTCATGATGGATGAAGCATGTATGCTAGGTTCAGATGCATTGTTACAGAGTTGCACCGCATGCAGTCGGTGTAAGAGCAATTTATGTTGAAAACCTTGACTTACCTCATCCTGCCAGAGCAATGTAGATTCAGTTTGTGTTCAATGTTCACAGGCAATAACCAACTACAGTAGGTCTCATGGCTGATCACAGCTGGTACTGTGTCCACATCCTTTAACTCTTCCGTCCAATGTTTGGAAAACATGCCCCAAGGTCTGTTGATCTATGCAATTAATTTATTGTCCTTATAAATGCAATACTACGAATATCCAAGAGACACCTCGTGTTGCGACAGTGGATCACCTCACAGTGACTTTATATTCTGGCTGACGTGGCTTTTCTCTTTTCATTTTAAATAATTTGTTTTGGTTTTTGTGACACATTTGTCTATGGTTCATTAATTGCAAGCAGAATTGCAACATCAAAAGGGAACTTTTTCATACCAAAACGCGGTTGTTTTAATATGACTGTAGGAAAAGTAAGAACTCCTAAAATAAATAAATATGGCAGATTTTTTTTTTTCTCTCTCCATATGTTTTGAAGGCACATTGCCACTTTTTGTTTAGTTTAGTTTAAACACAGGCACCATAGCATTGTTTTCATCATTCCGCTCATTTTCCACTTTTACGGTTTGGATAAATAGCATCCCATCTCGTTCTTTCTTAGCTGTTACTTGTTTTCCTCTTTAACTACAAAACCTTTTATTTCCAGGTGACAAATAAACCTCACAGAAATGCCTTAGATTTCACTGGAAGGGAGTGTGAAGTGCTACTCAGCTGTGTTGGGCTTTATCTCTGACTGGAATTGTTTTCATGCACTGCAAACTGTTGAAGTTTTTCTTTTTTTAAACTCCTTGAGATACTAGATCTATGAAGCAAAGAAATGTTTAAATGCTGATTCACTGTTGTGTGTTTACCATTCCACGATTTTAATCCAAATATATTGAAGACAAAGAAATGAATTGTGGCTTATTGCTGCTAATTTTTAAATTATTTCATCTGAAGGTCATTTAATATATCAAGTCAAAAATGGGGTCAGTTTTGTAACCATGTCCATGAATTTGTCTGTTTATTGTGCGCATCAACCTCTCTGTAAGTGTTTGTGCCATGATGCAGGGCTTTTTGTTTTTTTTCCTTCATAGAGAAGAAATCCCTTCAGTTTTTAAACTTTCATCCTGGTTTGATTTTTGAACTTGCCATTATTATTATTATTTTTTTTTTAAATAAAATTTTTTTTTTTTCACTGTGACAGTGCTTTTGTTTGTTTGTTACCTAAAGTCCCTTTAGCAGGTTGAAGACAACATGGGATGTGCTGACCATGACAAAACTTTACGGCATGCTGAGGAAAAACCTACACATAATCCAGGCATCTTAAATGCCATGTGGCTGAAACCCAACCAACAACCACTGATCTTCGATCAGTTGTCAATGGCCTGTTATTAGCGTTTGTTGATCAGTGGTCATGGAAATTTGCATATTAATGATCAAGGAACTGACCTCACAGCCCATTGTTCATTCAGTAGGCTAGTTTGTCATTGTGCAAAAGTACTGTTTATGGCTGGGGAAGCCTGCAGTCAGCTTAGACTGAAGAAGTCACCTGGATGAGTGATGAAATGTTTCTCCCACTGAAAATGCTACATCCAGAAACGATGCTTTGGGATTTACTTACCTGGACGACTGAGCGTGCATCAAGACGACATTATGAGATATGCCATGTTTTCATCTAATCGCACTTTGGCAGGTATAAATAACTTTGCTTTTTTTTTTTTTTTTAACTTATGTTTAAGTTTTCAAGATTCAGCTAAAGAAATGTGAACAAATGATGTATTTTAGCAACAGGCTGCTGGTAGCAGTTTAAAATGGGTTCTTTGATGTTACATGCAGACATGCCAATGGGTCATACTTTGGGCTGAGAGGCTTTTTTATGCTTGAATTATTCAGTCAATGTAAGTGGCTTAAACATTCCTTTGAAATGGTCAGAGGAGCCAATGCCCCCCCACCAAAAAAACTTTGAAAGACCTTCAGAATGATAGAACTACTGCTCAAGAGCACTTTGAAAACATCCCTCTTAGAAGTAAAATATAAAGAAATCTGTGGCGGCTCAACACCAAAGACAAGTTCATGCTTTACCTCATGTCTTTGAAACCACAAATTAGTTTGAGTTTATGTGAAAGTATTTGGAGAAAAAAGCCACAATACATGAGAATTTATTTCTAAAACAGACTCGAGTCTAGATAAAATAGATAGGAAATACATTCTTAAAAAAAGTATTTTACATTGTTTGCTGTATATGTTTTAAGTATATACAAAGTTCAAAATATACTGAATATACCAAAAGGTTGTTGAACAAAAGAACACCGAAATACATAAAATAGACTTTTAACCTTATTTTACACCATCAAGAAAACTGGATAAACAAATGACAGAACTTTTACCGTACTCTTACGGTGTAATTGTTTGGTTACACCTGCAAACCAGCACCAAAGAGAAACAATGTTTTTGTTCACTCTAAATCATACTCTGAGGTTATGTCACATTAATTTCTCAGCTTTACTGAAGTGTCATAAAGAACTGAGTGGCATTGTATCAATTTACCTGCAACAATGAGGTAATTACCTATTTTAATATTAACTTCACCTTATAACATCAAAATTCTCGTCCAAACACAGACTAAAGTAAAATCCACACATAAGCTGCAACTCTGAACTTTGTAGACATTACAGCAAAGCTGTATGCAGTAACACAAAAGTCCAAGTCAGACATCCAAATGTCTTTAAGCTCCAGATCCCTGACAGAAAACCAGTGTAAGCAGGTAACTGGAGAATGTGTAGCAAACCAATAGGTGTCAAATATCCTACATGCTTTACCCAGGCAGGCCTGCCTGAAACAAACTAAGCACTTTTAATATCAACACGATGTGTGTAATCTCATGTGTGCCACCAGATTGTGCCACCATTGTGTGGAGTTCTCATGTGTGAAGATCAGGGGGGAAATAGAGACTTTGACATTTGGGAATGTAATCTGCTTTTAAAACACTTTTTTTTTTTTTTACTTTTACTGATAACACAATACATGTTAATCAATGAGTGCTCAATGACAACTGATTGTGGCACAAAAACATGTAATGAACATTCCACCTCAGAGTATGATTTGCACAAGTGTAATTTCAAAAACAGTTCTGACTGGACCGTACAAATCAAAGCGTTTGAGCTGCTGTCTGACACACACACAAAAAAAACTGTAGAAGAAGTTGGAGGCAGTGATTTGTTGCTCCAGCAACATCCTTTCAGCTACTTTTAGCCGAGGATGGAAATCGCTGAGCTGGTTCCTGATCAGACGAGCTGGTGTGAAAGTTGTTCCCAGAATTCAAGTCTCCCATCTGCGAGTCCTTTCCTGGGGAGTAAAACTCAACCATCATCAAGATGTGAGGCAACTGTACAACTTCACAATTGTCATCCTCACATCACAACAGCTTGTGGTTTACAATCTCCCAAACGATCCTTTTTCTGAAATATGGCATATGTTTCTGTCAAAAACAAAAGAGCAAAGACATTTTTAAGCCTTCATTATGACTGCTTACTGAAAAGATACTCTCACTGATGCTGTTTGAAGTTACCTGCGTGAAAGTGATTGGTTTGTCTTTGGTAATGTAATCTGCATATTTGCATGTGAACATTCCACAGTCGCTACCATTCATTTGCTGAGGGATCTCCTAAGAACAGGAAAAGAAAGAAGACAAGTTTGCACGTGCAAATCAAACCTTGATTAACCTACAGTGCAAAATGACATCTGACACTTTGACAAATTATCTATAAAATGTCTTGACAGTAAAAGCTGCTGAGAAACTAATTTGAAAATTCAGAAAACAAAAGTCACAAACATAAGAAACTGGATCTTTAAACATTTCAAATCATCCACGCTCCAATAACATGGCTTTCGTATCTTGTGGAGGCTTACAAAAGCAGCAGAACATTGTATACTTAAAATCTCAGACTGGACTACTAACGTTTGTCACTATTTTGAAACCATTTGTTACCAGAAACCTAGTGAGGGCTTTACAAAAAAACCAAAAGAACTTTATAGATCTACAGCTATCAGATTCAACTGTAGAACAGTGTCTGATAGAAAAGAGAAACAAGTAAAATGCCAAATAAATAAAACGATACTGTGAGGCAGATAATGAAATCCCATCTAAAATTCCTGAAACCATGTGATTTGAACACTTGTCACAACAACCTTGTCTGTAGAACTTACATTGCGTGTTTTGCTGTGCAGAATCCAGCCTGAGGTATCCAGTTCTTTGCCTTTTTTGTCCTTACTTTCCTGTTGCAGGTATTCACTGGAAAACAAAATTGAAGTGCAAAAGTGCAAAACTCAGTGAGTTATATTTACCTCTCAAAACACATAACCCATTTAAACAAATATTGCACATCTGCTACAGAAACTTACAACAATATTTCACATGCTTTATCGTTGTTTCCTCCCATAGAATCAAAGTACATGATGGACTTCTTGCGGAAATCCACCACCTGAAAAAAACAAAATGCTAAATAAAATCCCAAAATATTTATATCCACATTTTAACTGACCCTTAAAACAACAATAAATTCAATAATTTTATTACACGACAGAACAGTATTATTAAGAATGCAATGGTTATTGTAATCACACTGATCCTACTGTTTCCAGTTTAAGTCCAACATTATGAAGTTTCATTATTTACTTTATCGTAAAATAATGGAAATAAAGCTGAAAGCAAAATCAAAGTCTCCATGAGTGCTTCCAAAATGGTTTTTTCCCCGATGTGTGATTCAAACATGATTTGAGAGGCACTTGTAATTTCAATGTACAAAAACGCTAAGATACTAACAGAAGATGCATTTCTGTTGCTGTGCATAAATTACTGACTAAAGACAGCATAAATCTACTATTGGTTTTTGGTTTTCAAAGGAATTGTATGCAAAAATACTATATTAAATTATACTATACTTTATTTATTGAGGGCAGGGCCAAGAGTTGTGTTCCCCTAGACTTCTACTGGGGATTTGCCTGAATAGACGTGAGCTCAGATGGGATAGGGCTTTTGCCATAGTGGCTCCCAAATTGTGGAATTTGTTGCTGTTTCACATTAGACAAGCCTCTTCCCAATTTCTAGATCTGCTTTTAAGACCCCACCTCTTCTGTTGTCATTTTAATTGTATTCATTTTTTCAATATATTTAATTTCTAATTTTGTTGCTATGTCTAGCACTTTGGTCAGTGGTTACTATTTTAAAGTGCTTTAGTTGGCTTGGCCATCTTGTGACCACCACTCATTTAGCGTCTCTCGCAGCTTCCAGAATTCACTCACCAACCACTCAGGTAATAAAGACTTTTCCCCTCACGACATCACATCACATCCATTATGCCCAACAACTTTCAAACAATCAGGCAAAAATCTGGACCAAATGTCTTTTCTGAAAAGGTGCGTCTTCCATATTGGCTTCACATTTGAGACTAAGAGCCTATGTACATTTTTATACTGTGTATTATTACACAGTTAGGTCCAATAATCAAGGTGTATTTATTTGTAAAACGTTGGCTCAAAGTGAAGACTTTTAGCTTTAGATAATTCAGAAAAACCAAAACACCATTGAGGAACTACAGCCATTTTTAAACATGGTTGCCTGTGCTGTCAAAGCTTATAATCATCATATAACACTGACAAAGCAGGCCTGTTTATGCTCGCCCTTAAACCTTTAGATTACTTTCTACAACAGCCATTGGGACTTACAGAAAGGCACCAGTGCACCCCCAAGTGGACAGGAACCAACAAGATGTCTTTAGAAAAGATGTCCATCTTTTTGGTCCAGCGGCGGACAGCAGAATAGCCACTGCTGCGCAGCTTGGGATAGAAAAAAGTATTGAACGTATTGACTGTTGGCATGTTGGAATCCTTGCTGCGCTCAACCAGCAGGTTCATGTAGAAGTTGATCACCTGGGAAATTAAAGAGAGACAGTTTAGATCAAGTGGACATGTGCACTCGTTTAGTTGTGGATCATAAATCTAATCGTGTACTGTTTTTTGTTTTAAATAGAAGATGTAGAGAAACCGATAATTTCTTTTTCTCTACATCTTCTGAGGTTCTCCCCCTGGCAAACCTGGGGAGGTAGGCGGTATATTCATCAAGGCAGGACCTACACTGTTCTTCATCCATGTAGCCACATTGGAGCTGTGTTTCTTAATTGTGTCAATAAGATCTCTATTTTTCCCCCCTTCATTTCTAATACAACATTTACGCACCTCATCATTGAGCCAGTTGAGGTTGCTCAGGGTTTGCAGGTCTTTACGTGTAAGGCTGAGACCAAAACCTTCACTTAACACTTCATGAGGATTGCCCCCTCGCAGCACCCTGTTCACTTCAGCCTCCATTTCCTTAAGAGGAAGAATGAAACAGTATACATGTATAAAACCATGAAACAGTACTTACATTTTTATATATATTTTATATTAGTCTGACAATATGCAAGGACAGTAATTAAAAGTAAAAGTCCCTTCATGTTCTTAATCAGAATATTATTGATAAATGAGATTAAATGAGGAACCTTAACAAAACCAACAGAGAGCACTTAATTTTCAAAAGATTGTAGAAGAAATCTCTGCACATCTATCATCAAAATGTAGTTGCAGTTTTACTTTTTAAAAGATAAATAGTAGTTAGAAAACATACTTCCCTGCGACAGTCTGTTGTGGTCACTCATTTCAATAAATATATAATGAGCTATGCAAGTACATTAGGGTACAATTTCCATACCTCTGTAAGTTCAGGGAATTCTGGTTTCTCTTCCAAAGACGTCTCTTCTTTTATGATAGGACTCAAAGGAAGCTCTTTCTCCAAAGGAACTCGAACAAAGACTTCGACATCTGGGCTACGCTGCTCCTCGTCAGACAGGCGCTGAGAACCAGAAATTACAAAGCAAATTAACGCAAAAGGGAAAATAATGAACATGCCAAATCTTAACCCAATAAGGTTTTGTGAGTTGACCACTCACCTGCTGCAGCAACTGAGCAGCCAGAGCTTCTTGCTCTTCTATCTGTCTCCGTCTTTCCCTCGCCCGGGAGTCATACATACTTGTCCTACAGGAAGAATTTAAAAAAGGAAAAAAGTCCTTTTTGCACTATTCAAATGTCGTGTAAATTAAATAATTTAATACACTTACAATTCTTTGATCCATAACTCAGCTTGGAAACATGGCACACTGTTAAGACAGAAATGTATCGTGATGAGATATGTATAAACCTTGGTTGTGCTGAAATCTACCTAAACACTTAATACACATACACATTTATAAACAAAATAAGAAAACCACTTGAAATGTTTGGCTATATATGCCTCTGTTTGTATTATGTTTAACCAAGTTACACTTCAAATAGCAAGCCTGACCAAAAGAAATACTAACCTCGAGCTGTCTTGTTTTTTACTTTTTTGCTCATCTACAATAATTACAGAGTCGCCATCATGAGCTGTAAGAAAAGGCAAGAATAAGACCCATGAACAACCACCAAGTAACGTTTAATTCACTTACAATAATATGTTCCACGCTCTCCCCATTTCCATCAAGTACTCAGTATGATTACCTGATGACTGTGTGTCCTGAGAAGAGTTATCCTGCAGAGCTGATGGAGAAGGAGTTGATATGAGAGTAGCTCCTCTGCTGGAACTGAGGTCCCTGTCCAGGGACCATGTCTGGATCTCTGGCTTGCTGGGGCCCCCCAGTGGACTGGGAAGGTTGCTGGAGCACTGGCTAGAGACTCCCCTGGGGCTGGCGGGACTGCTGGGCCCCTCTGAAGTTCCTCCTGCTGCTGACCCAGTTGGAGAAGAGAACTGCAGCAGTCTGCGGCTGGTGGTCAGGAAGCTGGTGCTAATGGGACAATGACAAGTAGAATGGTACAATAAGTGACTGGTCTGGAAACAACATGATTACAACAACAGGATAAAGTGGGGTAGGCTGTTCTGATCCCCACATACCATAGCTACATGATAATGTGCACACCAGGAAAAAAAGAAGATCCCCTTTGAAGTCTCTGGCTCAATGCACATGAAAGCCATGTCATTCCATGCTACGCAAAATAAGAAGATATGAAAACTACCTTTCATGCTTCTCTCACGCCCCCCCCCCCCCCAAAAAAAAACAAAATTACATCTCATTACACATTTTTTGTAACAGGAACATGGCATTGATTCAATACGTACAAATCTCTGTGAGACCTCACAATAGTGTGCGAGCTGCCATTGTGAAGATAAGACGACTGACCACCAGAGACCATAGTAAGAAGCTGCCTGTAGACCTCCTTCTCCTCCTCTCGAACAGACTGTTAAACAAAGAAAAACCCCAGTATGAACACACAGACATGCAACAAATAGATATGAAGGATACACACAGTTCATTACTGCTTTCATAAATAACCTCCTGTGCTGTGCAGCGGGGCCTGGTCTTGGGTAAGCAGCCTGATGAGGTACTGTGTGTTGGGCTCTGCACCACTTTGATGGGAAAGGTCTTCTCATACATGCTGGTGCAAGAGCTGCTTGTTGCACCTACTCCACTAAACGAACTGCAGACAAAATTTTGGATTTACAAAAAAAATTATAACAATGATTGAATATTGCTTACATGTCACAATAATAAATAATTTAACAAGCAGCAACTGCTGAAAAAGAATTTTCTGTCAGACACACAAAAGATGTAAGGAATACAAGAATACCTTTGAGTTCCATGCGCTCGGAGACTTAAAGGCCTGCCCAGCCTTGGAGAAGGCTGCCATTTAGGGGTGATGGAGGGTGGCAAATTAACAGAATGCCCGTTTGTTTTTGGCACCTCACGATGCACAGGACTCATGCACACTTGTCGCCTACAAACTTTTGATCCCGTATTTGACTTCTCATTACGCAACCACTCTGGAATACAGGGAGAAAGTACAGTAAGAGTTACAGCCCAGACAGGTTTTGAAACCTTAAATGCAGATCGCATATCATGACTTACACCTGATATATGCTTCAGTGCAAAATCTACTCCATAACCTATTAAGTAACCTGATGTGCATCTTCCAAGAAACCCAACTACATGTCGGGTCAATGTAGCCCGCAATTATTGTGACTGCCCTATTCATCACCATCGAAGCCTAAATCTGCCCTTAATACTGCAATACATTCTAATACTTCTATATTTTATTATGTAACAAGGCCTGTTGTATTGTTGCTATCAAAAAATTATTCGCAATGCTGCTGAAACTAATGTCACTGTGTCACCGTCCAACTACTCTGGACCTAACGTACCTGAGATTGATGACAAATTAGTGTTTATGCAATTAAGTAGTACAAGAGCAGAACTGGGGTATGAAAATCACAAAGCCCATACAGTCTGATACAGTACATTTGCTAAAATATTTCCAATTAAAGACTGTAGAGTAAGAAGGTATTACAAACAACAAAATATAAAGGTTGTCAGACAATTTAAAAGACATACTTGGAAGCTGAAAGCTCTTACAACAGCACTGTCCTGGAAAACACTGTAATTCAACTGGTGCCACAACATCCAAAACCTAGTGAATGTTTTAAAACCTTTTAGTTTTAATCATAGTTACTTGGAGTGGACAGGCATTCCCAGAGGGTGGAATTCTGGAAATGCTGCATATGCCCATCTCTGTTCAGCTCAGTTTTGTTAATACAACAACTTTTGAAAAGTTTAAAATGTTAAGCTTACCAGATTTTGACGTTTTCCACTCCAAAGTTGTTGAGGGAGCAGCAAATGTCTCATTCTGAGAATTCCTGTCAAGGATCTAAATCCGAACACATACAAGTTAAATAAGATTCACGTGTGCCAACAGTCTTTACAGGGACACCCATAAATCTGCACCATACCAGCCTCCCTGTCCAAATTGCTGATGATGTTGAGGGGCGCGGATGAGGTTCTCCAGGTGGCAAACCAGGGGAGGTAGTCAGCATATTCCTCAAGGCAGGATTTACATTGTTCTTCATCCATGCAGCCACATTGGAGCTGTGATTCTTAACCCCTTCAGCTGCATTCTTGACTGAGTCGATAAGATCCCCTGTAGAAATTTCAAACACACAGAAAACAATGTGTGCCTATACTCTCCACAATTACATTCACAACACACATAACAAAGTGAGTTTCTACTTACCCATTCGTGATTTCTTTATCACCAAACCATCTTGGTCGATGTTATGGCCATCTTCCAAACTTAAAGAAAAACAGACGGTATCCTGTTAACAACACGCTACCTCGTTTTTGTCAAACTTAAGATAACGGCTAAATGGACAGCGAGCTAAAACACTGCGGTCACACAAACACTGCACTCATAGTTCTGTCTGGGTTTAAGCTTCTTGGCATTGATTACCAAGGGAGTTCAGATATATCTGCTCGTACCATTCAAAGGGTCTTTTCCTCCTCATCTGACCATCTCTTGGTGTGCGTTGAGCATGTGGGTGTTCGGCAGCTGGTACACCATTGCGAAGACTGGCAACGCTCGTTTCTATCCATTCGCAGATTTTATTCAACATGGCTCAAAAGTTTTGGAAATTACGGCGCTAGTTTCAAGACAAATCGCTGTCACTGATTTCAGTCAGCCTTAGTGTCAATGTAGTCAAACCCAATTAAGCTAATGTGCTTTTTTTCGACCGGGCAAAGTTAGCCGAGACTGCTTCAAACACCAACACTCCTAACAAATGCCATTTTATCACCACACGAACACTCGCAAAACCGCCTGATATTTAGCTTACAATTAGCTAGCTAGCTACCTAACTAGCAAACTAGGCTAACTACCCTGCTAGCTAACGTTGTTAGCTACACGGCTAATTTATGAAAGTATGTTTAAATTACGACGGGAATGCGATAAGTCGCAACCGACGCGTTCAGGAAAACGAAAATCATGTTGGGTTACACCCTAACTCATTTATATATCCTTAACGTGACAATAAATTGTAAATAAACTCGTTGAAGAATAACATCTCCCGCTTCTTCCTCATTCAAAACCACAACATGGCTGAACCGAGCGTCTGACCATCGTACATTGTGATTGGGTGATTGGAGGTTGTAAATTCCAGTGTACCTAAGGCTAACTGGTCGATTGCAGAATGGTGGGACGCCTTAGGGCTCTGGTTTAACGGAGGGTCTTTGACGTTTAGTCCTACGTCACAGCCGTAGGACTCGACTTGTGGATACAATCAAAGCGCACTAAATCCTGTGTATTTCTTTTACTGATCAATTGCCTTTGACCTCGATGGAAAAAGCAATGAGGTCAAGGACAATGGTGAATGAGAGTTATTTCGTTATCCATAATTTCCTTGTACATGTACAAAGATAATAAAGGGCTATTCTGTTCTATTCTTATAGGGGGGAAATGCACTTACGGAACTGTTCTTATCCCAAGTGGATGAAATGCCATAATTTCACACGTTTCACAGTACTGACCCACACATATGGTTCTTACACACACACTGGACTTTCTGGACTTTGGTTTTGCACAACACTGGTCACTATATTCTTCATTTCCGGTTAATACTTGTACAGCTGCTGTTATTGTGTATATATTTATTTAGATTTAGATTTCTTCATACATTCTTATATAGTTCTATATTGTGTATTGTGTATTTTGTTGTACAGTTATTTTATTTTCAACTTTAATTTATATATTTATCTTTATCTTATTCTTCCCAGTTAAATTTACCCTTCATTCTAATTTGTGTTGTACAGTTATTTCATTTTTAACCTTAATTTATATTTTATTCCTTCCTAGTTAAATTTACCCTTTTTAATTTTTCATATTTATTTCCTATCTTATTCATAGCCTTTTCCTTTTTTGTTCTCTTTAGGTCACGAGCAGTTGTCCAAGCATTTCACTACATATCGTACTGTGTATGACTGTGTACGTGACAAATAAAATTTGAATTTGAATTTGAATTTTTTCTTTCTTTTTTTTAATCTTAAATTAAAGTGTTGCCAGATGCTATTTTTGAAAGTTCTGCAACACACAATAAACCAATTTGTTCCATGAGAGATACACCAGTAAGGATGTTTCCTTAAAATGTATGTGTTTCTGCAGCAAATCACAAGTGAACTGTAAAAGTGGATTGTCTATTTCTGGATGACCTTGTGCTTGTACAATAAAAATGATAAATATGAGTCTTTATGAACCCATACACTCACTGGACACTTTGCTAGTATGCAGTTGAACCCCCTTTGGCTTTCAGAACTGACTTCATTTTTCAACAAAGTGCTGGAACCATTCCTCAGACAATTTGGCCTATTTTGACATGATAGGATGACACAGTAGATTCAATCTCCCATACTACCATACTGGTCACTGGATATTTTCACTTTTCTGGACCATCCTGGGTAAACCCTAGAGATGGTTGTGTAGGAAAATCCCAGTAGATCAGTAGTTTCTGAAATGCCTAAATTACCTTTCTTTCTTCATTATGATGGTCATTTACAACTTCAGCAGGTCATCTTGGCGATCTATACATGCTTAAGTGCACAATGTTGCTGTCATGTGCTTGACTGATTGGATATATACATTAACAAGGAATTGAACAGGTGTACCTAATATATTGGTAAATCAATGTATAACGTCTTTTAGCATTTGCTACTTAACCCATTCCCAGTATAGGGGATGCCCCAAACTACCAAACCCAAGAATCCCATTGTTCAGTCAAAGACTTTACTGATACAGATGAAACAACAAGATACTTTTAGCACAATTTATTTAATCAGAGAGAACCATGATGACAGTCATACGCATTCACCCGATATAACATTAACATCTAGCGTGAAATGCAGGGCCCTGATAAAACATGAAACTGCATCAATGGAATCAAATAAAGGTTATCCAAGGCCACTTTAGAAGACATATATTTATTTTAAGCATCTAGCTCGCTACACATTTTATCTCATACACTTTCTAAAATACATCTTTCTGTCTTAAAAAAATAAACTTCAAATCTTATGAAATATAGCGTTCAAATCCCTCTCTAAGTACAGGCCTTGTGAAAAATAAAAGTCAATCCATGCACATATGGCACTGTTATGTTTATATTTTACCATTTCTCACCACTTCAAACCAACTACAGAAGTGTACATACAGACCCCCCCAAAAAACTATAATGCTGAAAATGAAGGCTTCCTCAAACTAAGTACTATTCATGAAAAAACATGATTTAAAAGAGTTCAGATTCAAATGCAATGACATACCATAAACACCACAACAAGGTGAATATAGTGTAATATCTTACTGACCAAACAGTGTATAACATTAACATAAATCAACAAGTCAAGGCAGAAATCAACACCAAAATCCCACGTTGAATAAATCTTTTTTTTAGATTGTCATTCAAACTCCAGAGAACGTGTTTCCTACCCTCAAACTGTTAGACACAGTGGGGTTTCTTGTAATTCACAGTAGTAAGACAAGAATAGATACGACTGAAAACAGGCAAATTATTCAAGTCTTTTAAGCCTTTCTAAAGTTTCATTTGTGCTTCCAGTCATCCACATGAAAACCCACAGCAACAGTGCCATGATATAATGACTGAATTTGGCATAGTTAGATTTTTTTTAGAGTCATCCATAATGTATCTCCTAATGACTATCAACATCTATTATTTGCAGGAAATTTATTATACCTATGCAAGCATGACAATAAGAGACCCATATAGTTTTATATGAACACTCACAGTCTGATAACGCTACATGAAATGAAGATGATCACTGATTATTGAGTGTTTCTGGGTGATAGGCCACAGTTTGGCTCATGGCTTCACAAACATGCTAGAGACGATGGAAAGGTTATAGACATTTTATGTGTGAATACTCACATACCCCAGAAATTGGTGTTTACTTGTACAAAGTATTGACAACCTCATCTGTATAAGGCAAAATAAATAAATAAAGCTGTTAACTGGGAGCCTCATCACCACTATCAACAACAGCTTAAAAGACTCTTTTTATGTTTGACTACATTTCTGTAATTGGTGCAGCTCTTGTCGACAGGTTTACTCTCGCTTTGTTCCAAAGATCTGGAGGAAAAAGGAGAAGATGTAGACGATATCCAGGTAGATGTTGAGAGTGGCGAAGACGTATTCTTCTGGACTCATGGTGTACCGCTTGTTCCCCATAAGGAGTTGGGTATCAAATGCCAAAAACTGCAACACATATTAATAATAATTTTAAAAAAAGCAAAAACAAATAACTCAACTTTTATATTGTTTGTAGGCACCTACTGCACGTGTTCTATTAAATGTGACTGGGCCTATTAGTAATAGCTCATCTCTTTATATGCTCACCATGGTAAACAGTATAGCCCCCAACACAGCATAGACACCATCCACCCAGGGTACCTGAATGACACATATTCATTTATTAGTTGTGATTCCACTTACTAATTTACAATAAGCAATCAGCTGAAATACCATTATATTTTATTATATGTTCTCAATTTGGAGTTGAGTCTGTATTAGTTTGAAAACATGTACTCATTTGAGGGACTTTATTCATTTTTACTATTTTAAATACTGTAGATTTAAGCAAAAGCAAAACAACAACCAGCCCTATTTGACTACTGTATTAAACTGCTAAAACAAATAAAAAGAAATGTGTAGTTATTTATTGTTTTTTAAGACACAATGGTTAGGTAGTCTAAAAATACGTCGAGAAGATTTTTTACTAGAGTCAAAGGATGTCTGAGAGTTAGCTATACTGCTGAAAATAGCAGGTATCTACCTCATGCAGAAGGGTGAGGAAATGTTAACAGTGTCATAACTCCTGTCAAAGCAAAAGGTGCTTTAAAGAATCAAAAATGTGAAACTATTTTTTCTTTATTAACCACCGAATTCCACATGTTTGTAATCTCTTCAGTAGACTACTGTTCTACATGACAGAAAATAATAACAACTGAAAAAACCTTAAATGAGAAGTTGTGTCCAAATTTGTGTCTGGTGTCTTAAATCCCGGCTGTTCTGGTACAATCAGCTAACTCGTGTTTACCTGACAGAAAAATTATGCGATTATTGGATTAGTTTGATCACACTTACATATTGGAAAGGGAGGACAAGGGCCAGCACCAAGCCAGAGATGAACATCACCATGCAGAAGACAAAAAGCACACCTTGGTATGAGGTCACATCAAACTGCAAAGAAGAAAGCACATCAAACCAGACATATGTAAGTCAACATGTAGGAAAAGGTGATTCAGGGAAGTTAGATTCACAAGTGCACAGAAAGAAGAGCATTTCGGTTTTCTCACCTTGGTTTGAAAGCTAAAGACTGTGACCAGGAGACAGACTGCTGCTGTAATGCCCAGAGACATCACCACTGACTTGGTGTTATAAAAGCTGTTAAAACAGCAAACGTGTAAAATGTTATGCAATTGTTACCACAGGGTGGGGGGTTCAGGATACTTTTTTTTAGGTGGCCTAAAAAGCACTGGCACAGATCGGATTATTCTGCTAAAATAAATAAAGTATGCTAACTTTAAACTGACATGCTGTAAAGAAAATACACTGCTGGCTATAATTATTTGAATATAAAATCCATTAAGAAGACAATCTAAAGAAGGCATGCAAAATATACCTGGACAACATCCCTGTCATGTAGGAGAGCGAGAGAGTCTGTAACATAGGACAGTCAGTCGGAAAATATAGGCATTATATGCAAATAACAGCATAACAAATAACATCACCTTAAAAAAAACTCTATATATTTATTGTTAGATTTCCAGAGTTAACTTGCAAGTCAGCTTTTAAATGCACAAAATAATGAGTTATATCTTACTGCTATAAAAAAAAGTTCAGAGAATCCCATCCATGTGTAAGCAAGGTCATATTTATTAAAAAGATAACACACATCAGCGATATACTTACGAAGATGACAAGCAGAATCAGGTTCCATGGAAACTGTCTCCTGTAGGGGTAAACAAAGACCAGTGTTTCAATATTTGATGTGATGTGAACTGTTTCCATATGATGTGCATTTCCTTTTTGATAACTTCTGCCTCACCTTGGTGCAGAGCAGCAAGACAAGGTCAGATAAGTGACAAAGAAAACAGCGCTGCAAA